CCATTCTCTGGTGATCATCCCCGGGCTCAGGATCAACTAACGGTGATTTGAATGCGAGATTCCTTGTGACTCTCCCCACTTCGGATTGACGAACGAAGATCCCAACGTCTACGAACCCATCCTTTGGCAAGTCAATTTCCTGGCTACTGCTGTGAAGGATGGTTGAGGATCTATTTGAGTCGTATCGTTCACCTTTTTCACTGTCATTTTTTATACAGTTTCCCCCTTTTTCCACTAGCGTAGTGCGGTAGATTAGTTACCGGAAGTTAGCTCTACACTTGGAAGTTCTTCGTTGCGTCCTTTCTAATACGTTTTTTACACGTTTTGTAGGCTTAGTCGCTACAATGGTCACATGAAACTTTGGTCTTCAGTTTCCGACGATGATGGATAAGATGAATCTCTATGACATCGAATTTTTCTTTATTTACTTCTGTCTTCTGAAATTAGTCTCATTAACTGATGAAGTATCCTTCGAAGTCCAGGGTGTTTGTGAGCCGAAGGAAAATTGGAGAGGTTAGCAGTTCGTTTCTATCTTTACTTTCGCGAGCTTTATTCAGTGGATTTCATAGTTGAGTACTTCTCACGGCTCATTTGTTACTATCCTTTGCGCTAAATCAGGTTTTGGGAAGCTGCTTAGCCTTTAATTGAACCTTGTATGGCGACGTGAGTGGCGTTAGTTATTCCCATTTACTAAGTTTCACAACGTGACGCCGGCTAAAATTTCTGAAATTAAATAAGAAATGTTTTTTTCTCATTTAGGTACCCAGCAATGGCGCACACCGTCGATGTCCTGATAATTGGCGCCGGCATTGCTGGCCTTACCGCAGCTATGCGTCTGAAACAGGCAAATATTGATAACATTCTGGTTCTCGAGGCAAGAGACCGGATTGGCGGTCGTGTTGCGACTACCATGTTTCGAGGCGTCGAGCTCTCCATCGGCCCCATGTACGTCCACGGGGAGGCCAATAATCCAGTGGCCCAGCTAGTGAAACAGTTGAAGTTGCCGGTTCACCCATCAGATTACTCCACATTCGGAGCAAAGTCCTGTGTTGCTCGACTTGCCTCTTCTGGTGAGGAGGTCGCCTCGCAGTTGGGTGCTGTGATTGCTAAGCATGAAGAAGCCCTGCACCGGTTGTCCACCTTACCTATCCCTCCATCGGACAAAACAAAAGCGGCGGCTATGACTGCCTGTGGTTGGAAACCGACTTCCCACTTGGAGCGAGCATACGACGGCATGCGTAGCGACCTCTACAATGGTCTTCCCTCACATTACGCATCTGCCTACGCTGACCAAGTCTGCTGTATCTTTGGGGATGAGGAGGACACCGAGTATGTTCTGTCTCAGGGTGATGGCTATCGGTGTATCGTCGAGCACCTGGCTGCAAAGGCCGATCTCCTTAATAAATCCAAGAAACTGGCCCTTTCAACAGTAATCGACAAAGTCC